GTTTTCGCAGCTACGTGCGGACACACAAAAACAAATTAAATTTGCATACATGTGGACGCGTAAAGTTTGGAATCAGAACAAAATGTTTGCAGATACAAATGAATCGGATACGTGTAGATGGAGCTAATAAACTCTGACTGCGCCGTCGTGAATTTCTATATATTGCTCGGACTCTTAATCCCATAGAACAATTTTCATAATAACTAGTTACATAGGCGTACGAGGCTTCAATCTCTGGCTAGAGGTGTGTTGTACTTACCCAAAATGTTACGTATTTAAGTACTATTTCATGTAGAAATTTATTGTCACATGACAATTGGTCAATTAAATTTACATTCTTTCAAGTAGGTATAAATACATATTTTAAAGTGTTGTAATTGCTAGCTGCAAGCACCAAAGACACAAGATTAAGAACATCCAAGGAGTCTGGGGTTGAACCCTGGGATAACTTTAATCTCCTGAAAATCATCATTCACTGCATTTTGAGAAGAGTTTTTAGTAAAACAAGAAAATCAAATCAAAAGCAGTGAAAATAATCGATATAAGTCTTTTGGACCAAATGAAAATACAAAGCCAACCGCCTTCCAAATCTCAATAATTTCCTGGCCAAAACAACTATTTTTGGGGAGTGGCACATATCCTCCTAGCAGTCCAACAATCCTTAAACCTTTCAGCCCATATTATATTACACTGACTGGTTAACGTCTTTAATTAACATCTCTATTTTTGAATGACATGTTGTTTGTAGTAGAATATCAAACGTTCTCTGGGCTGGATCATGGAAAAGGCGTTGTGGGTGGTAGGCCACATGACGAAGTGGTTTTGAGGGCCCTACCAAAGTAAATATTTCTAATGATACTATTGTCTTTGTGTGGCAAAAGTAAAAAGCAAAACCGTAGTTCGGAAGAAAAGGATTTTAGTTTTTTTATAAAACTTCATATTACAGACAAAATTTGAAGTACCTCCATTAGATGTCAACTAGACATTTTATTACAAATTATGAATGAGATGAAATTTTATGGAAGTAAAACACATCGTAAGAAACGTTGGACTCATCATTTGAAAATCATTGTTGAAAAAACAACTTTTTTATATAACGCTTTGGCAAAACATTCTTAGTAAATATCACAACTTTTATTGTAGCTTTTTGTTCTAAAACAAAAAATTCTTCAATATTTTAGACTTTTTGTGGATAAAGGATGACAGTTAGGCGAAAGAGATAGTTTTTGAACCGCCTGGGGCCCACAAAAACTTGATCCGAACCCAAACGTTCGTCTACTTTTCATCAAATTTCTTATGACTTGTTTATGATTATATGACAGAAAAAAAGACGTAGCAAGTAAAATATAAAGGTTTAGCTCTCTGACTGATTATTAAACTGCGTTTACTTTTTATTATAAGTTCTGTTTGTGTTGGAAATCAGAATTATTAAGTCATTACAACAAAGCCAAAAACAGAACATCAAATTCATAAATAATTTTTGTGATCGACTGAAAATTTCTCTTGCTCTATAGAATAATTTGAATTGCTTTCATAGGACTCACGCTGGTTAGTTCATGGTTATGGACTTTGCCTCCTTATTATCAAATGTTGATAAATATTAAGACCACTAACCTCTTTGTACGTCTTTTCAATAATGATTTCGTCGATCGTTCTTTCATTTGTATCGCTCCATTTTGACCAAATCAATAAAATCAGTAGATACTGTGACATTGCATGCCTAATTATATTCAAATGCTGTAATGACGTAGTAATTCCTTATTCATTATGCATGAGTAATGTATAGAATGACCCAAAAAGATTCGTACCCATGAAAATTTCGATTATGGCTTAAATTAAAAAGCTATTTATTTCAGATTACAACCACACATCATTCATTTTATGGAAGACTATTCACAAGAGTTTCGGCTATTTCTGTCAATTTTTAGTCAATTTATGGCTTTCCCAAGATGTTCCAAATGTCCACCATTTCGTTGCAAGCAAACCTGTACTCGTCAGGCAAAGTTGTGAATCACTTTTATACATTCCTCTTTCGGGATGGCTCTTATTTTTGCTGTGATGGCAGTTTTAAGTTCTTCAAAAATAAGAGCCATCCCGAAAGTCTAAAAGTGATTCAAACTGCCAGACAATACAGCTTACAATGATGGAACGGCATCTTGGAGAAAGCCATAAATAAACTAAAAATGACGAAAATAACCTCTGTGACATTGCATGCCTAATTATATTTATATGCTGTAATGAATCTTTTTATCATGTATATAAGAACCTGTACTTATCTAAGCCGGAATTAAATACAAGACTTATTACATGGTGGTAGCGATTAGGAAAAGTTGGTTCTTATCGAATGGCAGAAGGATTTTCTAGGCCAACACGACTCTCGTTTGAAGGCAACGTTGCTGAGAATTGGCGTCGCTTCAAACAGAACTATGAAATATACATTGTTGCTGCAGGACATAGTCGGAAATCAAAGAAAGAAAAGTCATGCATCCTCTTAAATCTAGCTGGCGAAGATGCGGTTGAAAGATATAATTCTTTTACCTACAACGAAGAGGAAGACAAAGACGATCCAGAAATTCTAGTGAAGAAATTTGAAGAAATTTGTATGCCGCTTAAGAATTTAACATTCGAAAGACATTTATTTCATACAAGGAAGCAAAGTCCGTCAGAGTCGATTAGTTCCTTTGTTACAGATTTGAAAAACATTGCTCGAAAGTGCGAGTTTGGTGACCTCGAGAGCGAACTTATTAAAGATCGTATTGTGTGTGGGATTAACAGTGATGCAGTAAGAAAGATTCTCCTTCGCGAAACAAGTTTAACTTTAGACAAGGCTCTAAACATATGCAGTGCAAACGAATTGTCGGAACAACAAGTAAAAGATCTTACTAATTATCAAGATGTCGATGAACTGCAGGCTAGGAAGAATTTGAAAACCTCAAGAGGAGGTTACACAAACTTAAGTCAAACAAAAGAAGATAAACATCGAGGACAAAGATTTGTATTAAAGAAAAATTGCAGAAACTGTGGAGGAAAACATCTTCCAAAACAATGCCCAGCTTTTGGAAAAATTTGCCACAAATGTCATAAGAAAAACCACTTTGCTCGGGTGTGTCTAACGTCTACACAAAAGTCACAAAGAACAGTTCATGAAGTTAGTGATGAAGAATTGTTTATTGGTGCTGTTAATGCAATCACACCTACGCAACAACGCACAAGCTCGAAAGTCGACAATCGAATGAATATTGAAGCTGTAGAAAAAAGCAATGACGAGTAGTATTCTGAACTCAAGTTTGGCAGACAATTGGTGAACGTGAAGGTGGATACAGGCCAAAATGTAATGTGCTTTCTAAAAAATTGTTCGACAAAGTCACAGAAGCTGAGCAACAAGTTACCAGAACAAATACAAAGCTAATGTCGTATAGTGGAGACTCAGTTCAAACCTTGGGACAAGAAGTGATGACGTGTTCTTACAAAGACAAACAATACAATCTTCTTTTCTATATAGCGACACACGATGTAAAGCCTATTATTGGTTTACCTGATTGCGAGCGTTTGTGTATGGTGAAAAGAATTATAGATGTCAAACCTATTTTCACTAGCGACGATATTCTCAATGAATATGCAGATCTCTTCGATGGCAAACTAGGATGTTTACACATTAAACATCATATCAGTGTCAATCCAAATGTAAAACCTACAATTCATCCTCCTCGACGCGTTCCAGTAGCTATGAGAACGAAAATTAAAGGAGAGTTAGAACGAATGCAACAGATGGGTGTCATCGATCCTGTAGAAAAACCAACGGAATGGGTTTCGTCATTGGTAACAGTGGAAAAACCAAACAAGTTACGAATATGTATTGATCCTAGATATCTTAATGAAGCCAGTCAGCGAGAGCATTACCCTCTCTTAACAATAGAAGAAGTCGTATCAAGACTACCTGGAGCTAAAATTTTCTCCGTATTCGATGCAGCCTCTGGATTTTGGCAGATACCTCTAGATGAAGATTCCAGTTATCTTACAACATTCAATACGCCTTTTGGCAGATACAAATTCAATCGTCTCCCATTTGGTATATCCTCAGCACCTGAAGTGTTCCAAAAAGCTATGCACCAGCTGTTTGACAGAATAGACGGTTGTGAAATTATAATGGATGATATCTTAGTATGGGGAACAACAGAGAAAGAGCATGATGAAAGAATTATCAATGTGCTGAATAGAGCTCGTGAAATCAATCTCAAATTAAAGAAAGAAAAAACAAAAGTTAAAGTAACAAATGTAGATTACATGGGACACAAAATAACGTCAGATGGTCTTCAATCCGATCCTGAAAAGATTAAAGCAATATTAAACATGCCAATTCCTAAAGATAAGAAAGATCTTCAAAGATTTCTTGGAATGGTTCAATATTTGGCCAAGTTTATTCCTTATCTTTCAGAAATGGCAAGTCCCCTCAGAGATATGTTAAAGAAGGAAAATGATTGGTGCTGGTTAGATCAACATCAAATAGTGTATGACAGAATCAAGAAATCCTGTGGAGAGCATCCTGTATTGCAATTCTACGATGTATCAAAAGATGTGACATTGTCCGTAGATGCAAGTATGTCAGGTTTAGGAGCAGTTTGTCTTCAAAATGGCAAACCAGTTGCTTATGCATCGAGAGCTTTAACTGAATGCCAAAAGAAATATGCACAAATTGAAAAGAGTTACTTGCAATTGTATTTGGATGTGAAAATTTCATGATTACATCTATGGCAGAGATGTCAATGTTGAAACAGATCATAAGCCCTTAGAGCAGATTTTCAAGAAGCCCTTCATCAATCTCCATTGAGACTCCAGAAAATGTTGCTGAAACTTCAAAAGTACAGTTTGAAAGTCTCGTTTAAGAAAGGAGCAGAACTTTATCTCGCGGATCAATTAAGTCGAGCGTATATCCAAGAAGAATCAGATGATCACTTAGAAGATTTTGAGATAAATGTTGTCTTGCCAGTAAGTGAAGAAAAATGAACCAATTGAAGGAAGAGACAAAGAAAGATAAAGTAATGAAAATGCTACGACAGTACGTAGAAAATGGATGGCCAGATCTACGCAGTAAAGTCGATTTGGATGTTTTGAATTACTGGGACTTTAGAGAGACTCTTTCAGTACAAGATGACCTACTGTTTAAAGGAGATCGAGTAATAATTCCTGAGTCATTAAGAACTGATATGTTGAAAGCTATACATCAAGGACATTTTGGATCTGAATCATGCAAACGTAGGGCTCGAGAGTGTTTATATTGGCCAAAGATGAGCTTAGAAATAGAAGCAGAAGTTAGAAAGTGTGAAATCTGCAATGCCCATAAGAGTCATCAACAAAAGGAGCCTCTACAATCACATACTGTACCACATCGACCGTGGAGTAAAGTTGGAGCAGACCTGTTTGAATTGAATGGTAGAAGCTATCTTCTTATGTTAGATTACTACAGTGGATTCTTTGAAATTGATTATTTGTTAAATACAACATCAAAGACAGTTATCACAAAGATGAAATCTCAAATTGCGAGATACGGAATTTTCGAAGATCTTATAACAGATAATGGTCCACAATTCAGGAGTAGAGAATTTCGTGCATTCTCGTTACAGTATGGATTTAAACATACAACAAGTTCACCTGGATATCCAAAAAGTAACGGCATGTCAGAACGTGCTGTGCAGACAGCAAAAGCAATCATAAAAAAAGCAAAATATGATAACACCGATCCTTATTTAGGACTCCTTAATTATAGAATAACACCTAGAGATGAAATTGTTGGCAGTCCAGCTCAACGACTAATGGGACGAAGAACTAGAACATTATTACCAATATCAGAGAAGTTACTTGAATTTCAACCATTAAACCCTGTTAATGTTCAAGAAAAATTGAAATGTATCACAAGAAACAAAAGAGTTTTATGATCGCAATGCAAAACACTTCCACCATTAAAAGAAGGAGATAAGGTACGTATAAAACAGAAAAGGCTTCAAAAGAAAGGAATCGTGGAAAATCGTTACTTGAGCCAAGATCTTATTTGGTTACGTCTGATGGTACCTACTATAGAAGGAATAGAAATCATTTATTAAAGATTAATGAAGAATCGAGAAGTCAAAATACAGATAAGTCTTATAGTGAGAACAATAGATCTTATAAAATTGTAATGAAAGTACTAACAACAGTAATATAAGAACTCGGTATGGACGTCTAATCAAAAACCTAATAGATATTCTTATTAGATAAAAGTTAAAAAAACATTTATAGTGTGAAATTATTTAAAAACCGAAGAAAAGAGATGTGACATTGCATGCCTAATTATATTTATATGCTGTAATGACGTAGGTAATTCCTTATTTAATATGCATGTAGTAATG